TTTTGCATTCTCAGTTGCATACATTTAAGCTATGGCTGTCAGAGTAAATCCTGTATCTTTTTCAGCAGCAGCATCTCTAAGCTGGGGTGGAGGGAATGAGACTGAGGGAAAGACTTTGCCCCTGCTCCACATGCCTGGAGTGGCATGTAAGATATTACTCACTCCCTCACCCTTTTTCTCAAGGAAAAATCTTTTTCTTTGTTCAGCTTTTTCAAAACAATGTGCATGTCTTATTTGGGGACTTGTGATATGTGAATAAATATGGTAGTACATTGTTAAATCGAACCTGGCTAAAAAGTTGGCTTAAAAAAGCCGTGATCCAGTTTCTTACCTAAATATCTAAGCATCTGTCTTAAGTTGTTTTTGAAGACCACTTCTTTGGTCTGCTGGTCTCAATGGTTTGTTTCTTCTGCCACATCGGTAGGCTGTATCAGGGCTTGAATTCCATCAGCTCTTGTACTGATAGTTCAGGAGTGCTGGTAGTCAAAAATAAATGTGTTAGTTAAGAAGTGCTACACAGCTTTCTGCTGCTTCGCTTCTAGCTAACACTTTTTAATACAAAATTCCCACAAAAAGACTTGGAATTTTATATTTCAGAATGCACCTTCCTGTGGCAGCAGTCTAGTATCCTGGGGATAAAATACCCACTCTGCCAGGATTCCCATTATCTTTATGTTCACTTTTAGTTGAGAAAAAAAATGGGACTGAAAGTTTTTAAAAATGATAACAGAAGTCTTTATTTTAGTTTTTTAAAGAACTGCTATGATTTCTTCTGATGTACTGTTCTGTTAAACAGAAGAGAAGAAAGCAACTGTTCAAACTCCTGTTAATGAAGATGATAAACAAAATGCAACCAGAAAGATGAAATCTACCAGAGGCAAGACGAATGGAGGTATGCGCTAACTTCAGGTTTTGGTAGCTCATTATCTATTACTTTAAATCAGGGCTGCCCAACTTAGGTTGTGGGATTCATGCTGTGGGGGGCTGCAGCAGTGTGGCCCATGGGCCATAGGTCATGTCTATCCCAGTTCTGCCCCCACCCTTGCACCATGCACATAGGCATTCCTTGTCCCCCCTCCACTGTACCAAGCACATGAGTGCTACTTCCCCCTCCACCACCACCATGTGCATGGACACAGGTGCCCCAGCCTCACTTTCAGCTCCCAGGGCACAAACTCCTCATCTGCACTGCACTAATGCCCCATGCCATACGCTTCCCAGGCACCATGGCTGTTCCATTCTGCTTCCTCCCACCTGCTGGGGTGGGGCAGGAAGCAGAAATCTGAAGTATGGGAAGCCTGGAGTCAAAAGTGGCTCCTACTTCTGCTGAAGCCAGTGAGTGGGGGAGCATCAGGTGGGTGGATTCCGATAGCTGCAAATTAATCTCTTGTAGGCTGTACATGGCTTGTGGGCTGTCTCTTGGACAGCCCTCCTTTAAAGGAAAAAAATATAGATTTTTTGTAAAGCCTACATGCAGTGTAGTTCTTTGACATGTTTTAAATTCTCAGGGTGGTAGGGTTTTTGTTCAAGTTTGAGCAACTGTGATTTACCATTCATTTTCCAGTAGTCTAATATTGTAATATGACATCACCTTCCTGGTGTCAGCAATGTTGTTACTTCTTAGAATATGGTAGTTGCCTGCAGAAGTGTCATTATTTTAATGAAGATGTTTGAAATTCAAATCCAGTTTACAAACTTGAATGACGCTAGAGACTTCCCACATTGAGTTTATTTTGCTCAATAAAGCATTCTGTACGTTTTAAGCTAAATATTTTCCCTAAATGGTTAACTTGCCCAGGATAAAGCAGTGCTATGTTATCTGTGATTGTGGCCCTGGAAATTGGAAGTGTGGCTTATAAGAAGTTTCTACTTGTGCTTGACAGTTCTGTACTTATTCATAATAACACAATGTCAAGTATATCATGTTGTTTGTTACTGCAGGGTAAATTTTATCACTGGGCACTGAACATCACATTTCTGAATGAATAAGAAGGTGTTTAAAAACTTGAGAAATTAATTTGAGCCTCTCCATGTGGAGTCTACTTGTACTGTGAATATGCATCTTCTGTAAAGGAGTTTGACTGTTTTCATCAGCAGTGCCTGGTAGTAGTCACATATGCAGCCTGCAGGCATGATCTCCCTCCAGAGGGCATGAACAGAACTCCACATGCCACTTGCATCCTCCTGACCTGGAACTGGAAGAACTTGTCTATATCACCCTTGCGTCAGTGTTGGCAGCACTTGTCACTAGGATGCCTCAGCCAGCATCTTCTGCTCTGAGCTTGTTCGGAGCTTGATTTGTTTACACACATCCACATGCTTAGCTTAGGTAAATTAGTTTAATCCCAGGGGAGCTGCACTGGCTAGATTCTCTAGCTCTAAGTCACCCCCCTCTTGTGATGGGGTAACTTTTTAAAATGGAGTCATAAGTGCCTTTGAGGGGGCAACCATATCAGGTACACAGCTTGTAAGCCATTTGAGAGATGCATGCAAATATCTTGGTTGTCTAGGCCAGGAGTGTTCAACCTCCAGCCCATGGGCCAGATATGACCTGCAGTGCTGTCATCTGGCCCACCTGGCTTCTCATAGGTCTGGAAATTTGGAGGTGGCACTGGCACCGCTCCTCTGATGCCAAATCTCTAGATCCGTGGGGAGCCCTGGCCCCTATGCACTGGATCCGGTGCCCCATCCGTGTGCAGGCCTGGGCAGGTTGGTGCTGGGCCTCAGTGCCCAATCCCAGCATAGAGGGCTTTGAAAGGGTGATGCTGGGTCCAAGGGCCTGATCGCAATGTGCAGTGGAGTGGGGGTGGGCTGGGCTCCCAGGGTCCAATATCAGCAAGCAGGGCAGGGAAGGGTGGTACTGGACCCCCAAGGCCTGATCCAGCCCGTACAAAGGCTCTGAACCATTCATCTGAGCACCACATATCTAGAATGAAGCTGCTTCTGGTGGAGAAGCTCATGGGGGCAGCACTAGGTTCATCAATACATGAGCATAAAGTTTCAGTCTCACCCTCAAAAACAGCAAACAACTCCTCCTTCCCCATCTGTAAGCGAGGCAATGACCCTAGGGTTTAGGGGCCAACAAGAATTCAGTCATCATCTAAGGTAAAGAAGTGGTATCTCTGGTTGTGCAGATTGGTACTTCTAGGTCTGCTTCATCCCACTTCATGATAGTGTCTCTTAATATAGTGCAGAGGTGTTGAACTTGGCTGGTGCCATGGGCTGGCTCCACACAGGGTAGAGGCTGGCTAGGTGGCCACAGGCTTACCAAAGGCTGTCTTGCAGCCCTGGCTTGCCCCCCAGCTGCCAAGGACCTTGTCCACTGGCACCACAAGGCCCTAGATTCAGTGGCTGGCCACTCCCACTTGAAGGAGCTGATGTTGTGAGTACATCTTAACTGACTGACTGACTTAACCTGAAATAAGTCTTCTTTGGTCAGGCATCATACTTAGTAAACCTAGGGATTGGCGTTGGAAAAAGTAGGGGAGGTAAAATGAAAAGTTGCTAGCCATTCAAAGCTGTGGAGTTGTTTTGAATATAAGGAACAGTGTAGTTTTGCTGGTATCTTTTACTTCTGTTTTAGGACGAAGAAAAGTAACTACAGAAGCCGTGAATAAAAGACGAAGAAATAAAACTATAGAGTTTGACAGTGAAAGGTAAGTTTTACACATGAATTGCTAATGTATATAGCTTAAATTGAAAAATAGCAAGTAAGCTTTGGACAAATAAAACCTTTCCACTGGTGTAATCTGTTAGGCTAGAAAAATATAGCAGACATGATGCAGACCCCTTAACCTTGGATAGCTTTGTCCTATTTGATGGAGGATTCCCGTGAAAGTATCAGGGATAAGAACCCACTGTAATTTTAATTGGTTTATATTTTGTCTTGTCCATTTGCTAAAGGCAGATGGGCTGTTATCTGCCTCCTATGCCCCCTGGTAGTGAGTTAGAATAATAGCTGGTTACTGTACGAGTATCCCCCAATAGTTGCACATTCATCTGTTTCTGGTCCTGATATAATTTATATTCTTTTTTGCATATTGGCATGAAATAAATGACTGAGTCCAGCACCTTAGTAAATTGATAGGCTTTCTGAAATTGGCATTTGGCAATAAACTAAACACAATGCAGTCCTCCTCATCCTGCTTTGTCAGGTATAAATGACATTCCAGCCTGTTAATTTCGTTGGAACTTTACTGTCTGTGGGTGTGTGATCAAACAGATGCCCCATTAACTTCAGTGTGATCCTGAACAGACCTTTTCATTTGCTTGAATACTTTGTTTACTCGTATGTACCCTCGTGGTAAAATGACAGCTTTTACATATACTTTGCAACTGTTAACATTTGGTTAATCCTCTGTAGTGATTGTGGTGTTTTTGGACTGATATGTAGCTGTTCAAAAATATTAAGCTATATGTAGAGCAGCATCTTTTTATTCTTTAAAAACAATACCATCTTATTTTGTATTTTCAAGGCTGTATATTTTAGTAAATTTAAATTTACTTACAATTTTGTTTGTGGCCCTCTTAAATATGTTAGTGGGGACGAAGTTCCAGAACCAGTTTCAGTGCCAAGTTCGAGACCATCCAGACGAGCGAAAACAGCAGCAATTGAAAAAACAAGGATGAATCTTACAGGACTTATTAATGAAGCAGCAGATGAGTGAAGACCAAGGGAGAAGAGTTCTTTAATAAACTCTTGTAGCTCCTTATAATGGGCTTCCAAAAATAAGCTGTTTTGCTTTAAATCCTGTTTTTTACTCTTTGTGTATATTTTAACTGTTTTTAAATTCTGAAGCTCCCATTAACTTTAAACTACTTTTAATTTTGACAGTCATTCCAAAGTTACAAAAATGATTTTGTTTGCATAATAAAAGTATAAAATTTTACTAAAACTCGGTTTCTGATTTTACCTTTAAAAAAGAAAAGTGCCTTTAAAATTTTCATTTGAAAGGTTCTGTTACTGTGAAATAGCAGTAGTGCTTTTCATATTTCAAAGCTCACTGTTGTGTTTCTGGCTGTGTTTAATGCCACACAGGTAGCAAGCTATAAATTGTGATGGGTTTTCCAGAATTAGTACATCTTAATGTGTCTATTTTTATTATTTATGGGCTTGCTTATTTTCTAGATGTGAAGAGAGGAGACCTGGTTGTTTTATTATTGATATATGGGATAAATCAGGTGGGCAAAGTACAGCCTGTGGCTAGAGTCAGCCTGCTAAGGGATTCTGTCTGGCCCATGGGTTAGGTCCCTTGGCCGCACCTGGCATGGGGGCAGTCCGGGCTGTGGAGCACGTGTCTGGGCACGTAGAGGGCATGGGCGGTGTGGCATCCAGACTTGCTTCCTGGCAGCCCCCTGCAGTGGTGGCAGCCCCCTGCCTAGCTGCTGCTGCCGCCCATGTCTCCGTTGCTGCCACCACTCTGGCCCCACTGCTCAGCCACCTCAGCCTGTCTGCCCTGCACCCATTGCTGGGGGCATTGGGTGGAGTGGATGGGTAGGCAGGTGAGGTTTCCATGGAGACTGGCCTGGGCCATGTGGGCAGGGCATGCTGAGCTGGGCAGATGGGACGGTGCTATGGGTAGGTGGGGCTGGGATCATGGGCCTGGATAGGAATTTTTGCACTGCCCCTGCTCTGCTCTGTTGGGTCAACACCTGCCCCGCCCCCACACTTGCTAGCTCACAACAGTTCAAAGTAACTCTTAAAGTTGCCTTCCAGCCCAAATAATTGCCCACCTCTAGCATAAATGGACATTAATTCTGGTCAATCCTTCCTGCAGACACGGATATCTTGATTATGTACAATATTTAAAATACAGGGCCAGATCCTTTTCTGCCCATTGTCATAGTGTGATTTTATTTTTTTAAACTCTGCTCAAATACCTGAAAAACTGATGACATATCAGAAAGGTGGGTAGTTGTCCTCACTGCTTTTTGTGACTTAGGTTTAAAGCTAAGAAACCACAGTACAAAAGTAGAGACTAATAGTTTTTTTTCCAAGAACATGAACAGTGTTAAATAACTAAATGTAATCCTAAATGCCTAGTGGGGGAAGAGCAGGGGAGGGGAACCCAATGTCCTAATTTTCATGTCATTATCTAGAATCAATATTGTATTGGTTTAAAAAAATCACTATGGTTCTCCCTCTGCATTTCTTGTATGGGTACCTAAAAACAATAAAAAAAACCCCAATACTTCAACGTATTATTGGCGTGTCAGACTCAATATTGTCGCACTTCCACTGAAATTCAAAATATTCTTAAGTTTACAGTTACTAATTAATCTTCAAGAAAAGTCCAGTGGTCTTATCTAGAAATTGCAAAACTTGTTACCTTGTTATCCTTTTTCAGGCAAAGCCTCTGTGTTCTTGCTGCTCAAAAAAGTAGAGATGGACTGGCATATCCGTACCATATCAGATCACTGATTAAAAGGAAAATGAACATTATTGGCTACTAGCTTTTTTTGGCCAGTGTACCTGATAATATATCGATAAATATAATGCGTCTTATGGCCGGGGCCCCAGATGCAATGTGTATGCGCGCAGCCTCACACATGTGGCCAGGAATGCAGCCAGGCAGTGTGGAAAGCAGTACCATGCAGGTAAGTCTGTGTAGGGGAAGGGGCGTTGGGGGGTGGGGGGGTGGCAGATTGAGGATCTCAGGATGAAGCAGAGGCGGGCTGGGGGTGCTGCCCAGCCAGGGCAGTGAATGGGACCCAGGGCAGGGAGCAGAACAGCTGTGGGTGGTTCCTCCAGGGAGGCGCGGGGGGGGGCGCGTGGAGAAGAGGGTGCAGCTCCCTGCTGTTGCGTGCACCCCTGGGGGGGCATGTGCACCCCTGGATTTGTGTGCGGCATGCAAGCTAGCTGCCTGCTGTGGACTGTCCGCCTTGTTGTCTTTGCCCCAGGAGCCATGTGCTGGCCATGTGCCTTCTGCAGGTCCAGCAGTGGTGGTGGTGGTGATGATGAGTTGTGCCTCCACTGCCAGGAAGGCAAAGAGACCTGAGCCCGCAGTGGGCAGCCTTCAACTGCCCTCGCCCTGCATGGCTCTGGTTAGAAGTGTCCCTGCACCTAAAAGTGGTGGCATGCTTGAACTAAAGCTCATTTGACAAGCTTTAGTTCAAGTGCCCCTGCCATCTTTAAGCACGAGGATGCTGATCCCAAGGATGAGGAACCCATGGCTCTGTCACACTCCCTGCCCTGGTCCTGGGGTCCCATTCACCACCCTGGCTGGGCAACGCCCCCGATCCACTCCCTCCCTCACTGTGGGGGGCCTTGATCTGCATGCCCCAGTTCCCTCCACACTTACCTGCAGGGTGCTGCTCTCCATGCTGCCCAGCTGCATTCCTGTAAATCACTTATCTGATCTACATTGGCCAGTATGCCTGGTGAAGAATCAGCTACTGGTATTGGCCAAGAAAATCTTTTTTGGTGCACCCCTAGAAGCAAGATCCCAAATCTGTCTAAATAACTTAATTGTGATCTACACTTCTATAAACTTATCAAATAATCTCTGGGTTTTACTCTGTTTTTACAGGCAACCCCCGCTTAGCACCCTTAATTGGTTCTTGAAAAAACGAGCGTTAAACAAAACAAAGTTTTTGAGGACCGAAGATGTCGACTGCAAGAGTTTTTAATGACCCAAGATGGCAACCGCGAGTGTTATAACAAAACTCACTGAGCGCTAAGTGGAATTGGGTATCAATGGAAAATGAGTTATAGTGAAATAGTGCTAAGTGACACAGTGTTAAGCGGGGGTTTACCTGTATGGTAACAAATGCTTAGAGTAACTTGATTTGTAGTACATTGATACTGCTGATGACAAGGTTGCTGATTTCACTGAAGTACGTATTTTGTGTGTTTTAAAAAAAAAAAAAAAAAAAAAAATTCAGTAGGGCTGTTTCCTGATTTTCGTGCTGCTCAAATTAAGAAGTTACAGTACATCCTCAGAAAGTCTGAATGGGATGAAGGGTCATAATCTTTCTCTATAGCAAACAGATTGCTATGAACATAACAGAGTGCTTTGCTCTCTACGCTGGGAGACTCCACATCAGGCGTGTCCTGACTGAGTCCTTCATAGAACCTGAGGTTGGCACAGGTACACGGTGGCAGTGCCATTCAGGTGTTTGGTATGGATCTCAAGACATAAATTCAAGGGGAACCACAGTCAAGCCAGATGTAAATAGGCACCTGGACACACAAGCTGGAAGTGGCTGGGGACAGTGCCAGCCATGCTTCGTTTTAAATGCTTGTCAAGTATCTTTGCTCATTAGGGGTGTGGCCCCATGTACGCTTACAATGGTTGCCAGTTATTGGAATGCTGTGACGTATTAAAGTTGCTTTGTTGGATAATTCTCACCTAAACTAGAGCAACTTTGCAATGCCATGTAGCATTTGTTCATGTTTTTAACTGCACTCGGTGTAGTTAAATTAAGTTGAATGTGTGACATGATGCTAGATCAGTATTGCCCAACCTTGTCACCCTTCAGCCAGATGGGCAGTACCAGGCTGGCCTGTGAGCTGGATCCAGCTGGGTGTGATGGGGTGGCAATCCAGGGTCTGGTGCTGGCTTGGCTGGAACCCAACAAACTCAACTGCATGGGAACAACTTTGCTGAGGCTGTATCCATGTGGGGCCTGAAAATTTAGGTGGGTAACCAGGAGACTGTAGGCTGGATCCGGCCCATAAGCCAGGGGTTGAATACCTCTCCTAGATCATCAAGAGCTACACGTTTCTCTGGGTAACAAGGCTCTGTTATGATCTCTCTGTATTCTGTAATCTTATTTTCTGCTGTCTGACATATGAGTGGCTTAATAACTCTCAGGAATCTCTTGTGGCTGTGAATTCTTATAAAACGTGGCTGAAGTGTTTCAAGTACTGACCTGTAGCAGTGACTAACTAAACCCCATGAGAAAAGACTATATCTTTGCAACTTTGGTCTTCATAAAGATCCAGATCTGGCCTGCTGGTCAGGGGTTGGATTTAATTTACAAGTGAGTTCAGGTGCATTTGTAAACATACACCGCTGTCTGAGAAGTAAGCTTTTTTCCAGGTATGTGACACTTGAGTCTCAGGAAGTAACAGATGAAGAACTTAGTGAATTAAGAAACCTTTAGCTCTCCCTGTAGTAAAGGAAGAAGTGAAGTAGGTTCCTCTTTAAGTACCAGTACTGCATTCTTGAATTAATGTATGCATACCTTTTATAAGAAGTTTTGTATAACCATAGCTGAAGCTGATTTACCCTTGGAATGTAGATAGTAAAGACTTACTCCTACACAAATGTATGATTTTGAAAAATACAATGAATTTCTAAACTGCAATAAAACCATGACAGTGGAAAAGGGTTTACATCCATTTTAATTCCTGACAGGCATAAATTCATAGAAACAAAGGGGAAAAAATAGACCACTGCAGTAGAAACCTCAAAAGTGCAGATACAGGTTTGTTGAATAACAATCTTTCAAGAGCTTTCTTTTACATGGGTGGCCTTTTTAGACTCTACAGTTTTGAAACACTGGCACACAAAAGTTCATAGGCTAAATGGGAGGGAGAACCAAAAGAAACCTTCCTCAAAAAATGAAAACTTACTACATCATCTGAAGCGGTGTTCTATACGTTTCCAACATTTATGGAGGACCTTTTAGATTACCTTTTGCCATCTCTTACTGCTTTTCTTCGAGGTAGCCAGTCTCCCTATTTTGAAGAAGTGATAGGAAGCTTGATCACCATAAGCCTTGGCACAGTTAAATGACTGATGTCATATATTACATAAAATATATTAACTTTTGTGCACAAAAATAAAATTGGGCAATTGAAAGGACATAGAAAAATCACAATACTATTAAAAGGGAAACATCTGATTCTG